TTTTTTTTTTTTTTTTTTTTTTTTTTTTTTTTTTTTTTTTTTTTTTTTTTTTTTTTCTTTTTTTTTTTTTAATTACCATTTGAAAAAATTACAATGAAATATGGACCAGATAAAGATAAAATAAAGTCAGGATCATTTAAATTATATTTTAATGATATAGATTCTCTATCTCTTAAATAACCAAATGGGTTAAATTGTGGTAAAGAAAAAGTATACAAAGCTTTGGTAGAACCATAAATTAATATTGGCATATTTTTATTATTTGTTAATCCAGTCATACAATAAATTGGTAAAGTATTCATTTCAAAATGGTCTTCACCACTTAAATTATATGCAATGATTTTTCCTTCACTCATTGCTGTAATTATATTAGCGTCATATTGAATAACAGATACTACATTCCCATATTTACATTTTACTTTATTTACTATTTGTAAATTTAATAAATTTATAATTGTTATACTATCACCACATACCCATAAAGTTCTATTATATTTAGAATCCTCCGTATTGCTATTATTTGTATTCAAAGATTTAGGAGAAATAACTTCAATCATTTTATATATTTTTGTTTTTGTTTCTATTTTTTTAATTGTTACAAAACTTAAATATGATTCTTGATATTTCCAAAATTTTACTTCTCCATTTACACATGAAGAAATTATTATTCCATCAATACAAAGAATGCTATATATAGCATCGCTATGTGCAAAAAGAGTAGAAGAATCTGATGAAGGTAAATGCATAATCTTTATTAATCCATTATCTAAACCAGCGAAAATACATTCTTCAGCATACAATAATGCTAGAACTCTTTTTTTTTTTTTTTTTTTTTTATTATATTTTAATTTATCGTAACAGTAAGATTCTTCTTCTTCTGTTAATTCAAATTCTATTTTTTTTAAATGTTTTATGTCAATCTCTTTTGATCCTTCTCCTGGTACAAAAATCCATACATTAATAGTATAAGGTGAAACAGAAGTAAATAAATAAATTTCATTATTAGGACCGTGAACTATTATCGCACAATCGATATAAGATCTTTGCAAAAAAAAAGTGTCAACTAATTTTAAATTATGTAAATTTCTAAAAAAAATTGTTGTTTTACAAATTTAAAAAAATAATATATTTTTATTAAAAAAATAAAATATCTTTTATATATCAATATGTGCAAATTAACTTTAAAAAAAAAAAAAAAAAATACATTTCATAATAATATTATTTCAAAAGATAAATATTATATTTTAATACAAAAATAAACATCAATCTCAGTTATAACAAAATAATTAAAAAAGTTATTTTATAACTTTTAAGTACATATAAAAAAAAAAAATATAATAATAATTTATTATAATTAACTCTTTCATTAATCATATATAAAAAAATACATAAAATTACTCATTGTATTCATATTAAATATCTTTATATTTATAGAGATGAATATTACACTAATTAATGAATGAATGAATGAATGAAAAAAAAAAAAAGTTAAAATAACATTACATGATTCAAATATTAAAAAAAAAAAAAAATATATCAATAGTAACAAAAAAGGTGTATGTCTATGTAAGCATTGATTCATATATTATTTTAGATTTTTTTATAATTTTAAACGAAAAACAACATAATATATTTTAAATTAATAATAATATTTTTATTCTTAATTCAATTCTATATCTTATATGTTTTTTATTCTTTTTTATTTAACTTTTATTTTAATTTTATTTTATTTTATTTTTATTTTTATTTTTTTTTTTTTTCTCTTTTTATTATAATGTTTTTTTTTTTTTATATTTTATTTACTTTTTTTCTCTCAAATTTTATATCATTTTATTTTTTACTTATTTCATTTAAACATATATAGATAAATAAATATATATATATATATATGTATGTGTATATATGTGTATGTATATATATATATATGTGTATGTATAAATATATATATATATATGTGTTTGTGTATTTATGTGTATTTTTTTTTTTTTTTTAATATTAATATATAAAAAAGATAATAATTTATTGATATAAATAAGTGAAAATCATTAAAATTAATTTACTTGCAATCATTTATAAAACGGCATGTTCCTAAAGTAAAGAAAATAAGAAAAATTATTACGATATAGAATGTTCTACATATAAAAGGATATTAATATATAAATAAAATATATATATATATATATATATATATATATATATATATATACATATATATAACATTTGTAACAATAAATTCTTAACCTCTTAAAGTATAATGTGGACAAAATATTGCTCCTTTATCTTTATTTATGTTTTTTTTTGAATAATATGTTCTCCTATTAAAAGAGTTTTGTATTTTATTATTATCTGAGCCTAATTAAAAAAAAAAAAAATAAGTTTAATTTTAGTTAAAGAATTATTAAATAAATAAATATAAATAATACAATTTCTATTAAATTCATGAAAAACAAAATAAAAATATATGAATTTTTATATTTTTTTGGTTTTTTTTTCTTATATGTAGTTTATATTACCATTTGAATATCTATATTGAGATTTAAATCCATCTCTAATATAAGAACCTCTCATATTTTTACCTGCAAGAAAATTTATTTTTGTTTTGTAAATAATAATAAAGTATATATGAAATGATATATATTATATTTTATGAATGATTTCATTTTGAATCTTTGATTTTTTATATATTTAAATTAAAAATATGTTATTTATTACATAAGTTTTAATAATAATTATAAAATTTAAAAAATATTTTTACTGTTATATTCTTACATTATATATTAAATGCTAATTTTTTTTTAACTTTATATATTCCCTTTTTTATATTTAAATAAAATTTAAATCAATTTACTCACAGAATTTTAAATCTAGTAATATATTTTTATTTTGTTTTATTTAAAAATATTTTTTCAAAAGATTTTTCATAATTTATCCAATTCATTAAATAAGAAAAAAAATATCTTATATTAACATATTTTTTTTAAAATGTTAAAAAAAAGTAAAAATTTACTTATAATTTAACGGATAGATTTTTCATATACAAAAAACATGATTATGTATGTAAAAAAAAATAATTTAATTTTAATTTTTAATATATTATTTAATGAAAAAAATTTAAATAATTTATCTAAAGAATAAAAAAAATATTAATAGAAAAAAAAAATTCACAATGGTGTAAAAAAAAAAAAAAAAAAAAAAAAAAAAAAAAAAAAAGAAGATTCAAAAATGGTGTAAACAAATATATTAAAGAAAAAAATTTATAAAACATGGAGAAAAAAAAGAAGAAAACAAATGAATAAAAAAAATATATATTTATATACATATATATGTATATACGAAAAATAGTACTTTATAAAAATTATAAAAAATATGATTAAAATTTGACTTTCCAAAAAATAAATTAAAAATAAAAAAAAAAAATTTTAAATATTTTAATATATAAATATTGTGTTGATATAAAAAAGAAAAATTGAACAATTTTTTAAAGTTTTATGGATAAAAGAAAAAGAATATTAATTATTTTATTTTCCTTAAATAATGTATTTTTTATATTTTTCAATTAATGAAATATAGATAAATTAAAAAAAAAATAATGAAAATGTATGAAAAATATAGAAAAATTATAAAAAAGTGGATTTAAATATAACAGAAATAAAAGTATAAGAAATATATAAAGTTACAAAACAATTAATAAAAAAAATGCTTAATTAGACAATACAAAATTAAAAAATTCGATTTATTAAAATGAGTAAATATTAAATAATTAGAAAAATAAAAAGTAAAAAAAAATTATATGCAATTTAATAAAATATATTTATGTTTATTTTTTTTAGAATTTATTTATGTTGTAACATATTGACTTTTATAAAAATTTTTTAAATCTAAAGAAAAAAGCTTATTTTTATTAAAATTTTTTTTAATATATATTATATGGCAAAAGTTTTGTAGATATAAATAAAAATTGAATTAAAAACATATTTAAAAATAAAATACTTGTAGGTGGTAATTCCATAATATATATAAATATATATGAAATAATTTATAATTATAAATTTATGTATCAAAATAAAATTATGAAAAACTATTCTTTGAAGAAAAAACAATAAATTGAAGAATTAATATTTTATTTTATTTTGATATTTTTCTTTAAAAAATAAAATTTGTTTCTCATATTTCTTATATAACATTTAATAATAATTTAAAATTCTCATTTTAATTCTTATTTTTAAATATTCTATTTTAAAAAATTTTAAAAATTTGTATGTTCCTATTTTTACTGATGTATTATATATATATATTTATTTAAATAAATACAAATATAATATAATTATATTTAAATTTTATCAGATATATACAGATTAATAGTAATCTAATTTTTAATAAAGAAAAATACATTAACGTATGAAATTTATATAATGTAAAATATAGGTATCAAAAAAAAAAAAAAAAAAAAAAATTATACAAGAAAGTTAAAATACAAATAAATTCAAACAAAATTTTAAATAAACATAATAAAAAAAAGGAAAAAATTGAGAGATAAATAATTATGTGAGGACTAATATATTGGTATGGGAGTGTTATTTTATTTTATTTTTTTTTTTTTTTTTTTTGTCTATAATACTTAAATGAATATTTCATTTAGGAATTACAATAAAAACTAAAATTGTAAATAGCGTATAATTTCAAAATATTTCTATTTTTTTAGGTTTATAGGAGTGAAGAATTTATTAAAGTTTTTATTTTTTTTTTTTTAACATATATATTAAAAATTGTTTGTTGGAATTAAGAAAAGAAAAAAAAAAAAAAAAAAGAGAAATTATGATAAATATTAAATTAACCTTAAAACATTATAATTTTTTTTGATCTGCAGTTACAAAACTAATAATATTGTATTATTTTACTTTCATATTATTTTCAAATTTAACTACAAAATATTAATATTAATTTTAACTGATCAAATCTAAAAGAAAAAAAAATGATAAATTAATATTTAATAGTAATGATAGTATTAACTATCAAATTTCCTTTTTTCTATATATATATCCTTCATATTTTAACAATTTTAATTAAAATAAAAACAAAAAAGAGAAATGTTGCTTTTTAAAAGAAAAGTTAAGCATAAACTAGTTTTAAAAAAAAAAAAAAAATAAAAGTATAAATATATATATACAAAAGAAAATTACTTGAAAAAATTAATCTTTATATATAATAAAATGAATGGTAATGTGTATATAATTTATGATATACAAAAATTTTTATGATATAAATAGTTATTTTTAAATAGTGTAAATGTTATGTTAATAAGTGAAACCACGTAAATCATCGGAGTTGTATTGAAACAAAAAATGTCCTAACAGAGAGCAAATAATGAAAGAGTATATAACACTCAAAGCACTACCTAAACATAAAGCTCTTTTAGCATATATATATCTTAAAGAAGATTCATCATATTTTAAATTAAGAATATACGAAAGGCAGCCTAACAAAAGTATTAAAAAAAAATATTAAAAATGAAAAAATATGTGAAATAAAAAATAATTTTAAATTCTAATTTATTTTTTCCTTTTTTAACTAAACCTATTATAGGAAAAAAAAAACATAAAATAGTATGTATTTGTGGTTGAGTTATATTATTCTCTTCATTATCTTTAACTTCATCTTCACCCTAAAAATTAAAACATTTAATTGAAAATTTTTAAATGGATTCATAAAAAAAAAAAAAAAAAAAGTACAATAAAATTTCTAAAAAAAAAAAAATGTACCAATGATCCTTCACTAATTGATGGTTCTGAAGCAAAAACTGGTTCATTTTTAATTATTTTTGATTTCAAATTAAAGATTCTTTTATATTCAAGTTTTTGATACTATTAAGAAAAAAAAAGAAAAAAAATATATTAAAAAAATAAAATAAAATAATGGTTATTAACAAATCAAATATATTTAAATAGATAATACTTATTATAATTAAATTTGTGAATTAATATATAACTATGTTACTGTAATATTTTTATACCATTGCTGAATCTATATTAAATATATCGAGGTTTTTCCTATTTACTAAAACTGAATGATGTATACATTCATCATCTTCATTTATTATTGATAATGTATTTTCTCTATTTAAATTATACATTTCATAAGAATTTTTAAATTCTATTAATCCTTTATCCTCATTGGATCCTGTCATTTTTCTTTTTTTTTTCTAATTTTTAACTCAAATTTTATATTTACAAAAATTTCAATAAAAATATATAAGAAAAATAAATTATTTTTTTTTTTTCTTAATAACAATAACAGATTATATTAAATAAATATATATTATTAAAAGAAAGAGGAATTATTCGTATTGAATTTCTTGTTTAATGAAAAAGGAAAAAAAAAAATAACCCAATTAACATATATTTATATCTTTATATTTTTATTGATACAAATATATTTTTGCATAATTTTTCTTTTATTTACAATAGTTTAAAGAAAAAAAAAAATTGGTGTAGATATATATATATATATATATGAAAAAAAAAAAAAAAAAAAAAAAAAAAAAACTTAAAATTTTTTTTTTAACTTCTCAAAAAATTTTTTTTTTGTTTGCAATGATTAATATTCTTCCGATTTAGTCAAATTAAAAGATGTATTATTTTGTGATAAAATTATAAAAAAAAATATTAAAATGAATATTATAAAAAAATAATGATTAAAAAAAAAAAAAAAAAAAAATTATATATGATAATAATACAATTTATTTCTCTTCATTTTTTTTACAATCCATTTCTACTAATCTTTTAACACCATATATTCCTTGGGACACATTTGTAAACTATTAATATATAAATAGTATCAAATAAAAAAAAAAAAAAATATATGTATAATACAAAAAATTAAAAAATAACAAAAAAATATAATTATATTATTTTTTATTTATTAAACTCTTTTATACCACTTTGAATGCGGCCAAAGGAAAACAAAATTTTATGGCATAATAGCCTTAAAAAAAAAAAAAAAAAAAAAAAAAAAAAATATAACATTTCTAATATTCAAAATTTTAATTTTTTAAAATTTATTGTAAAAATAATATTTTAATATTATTTTATTATATATATATATATATATATATTTTTTTTAATTTACTTAATATATAAATTAAGGATTTTTCTGATGCAACCTTCAATATGTATATAGAAATCAAAAAGGATTCGTATGCAATTATACACATTACCATGACACCTAAGATAAAATTTTAATTTTTTAATTTTATAAAAAAAAATTAAATTATATTAAAAGGAAGATACTTATTATTAAATTATATATATATATTCCTTTTTATTCATAATTATGTATATTAAAAAAAAAACTACGAATTTTTCAAATAATATAACAAAGGCAAGAGTAAATGAATAAAAATAATAAATATACATTATATAACAAAATGAAAAAAAAAAAAAAAAATATATATATATCATTTTTATTAAAAAATAAATAATTTTTTGAGAAATAAATTTAATTATCTTTATGTTGTTTATGTTTATTATATTTTATTAATATATACTCTGTCTTTCATAATATAATTTCAAAAGTCTATTTCCCTTTTCAATTTTTTTATGAGTTCTATTTCCTGCTATAGCACATCTAAAAAAATAAAATAAAAATGATAACATAGAATAAAAAATAATATAATTATTCTATATATATATATATATAATATATTTTCTTTATAATTTTTTTTTTAATACGATGTTGAATGAAAGTAATGTCCACCTATATCTGCAATCATAATTAGTCCAACCACTTAAAAAATAAAAATAAATATATAACATATTACGGTAAAATACAAAATTTTAAAGTACATATATAGATAATTTAAGGAAAAGATAAAGGTAAATAATAAATACAAAAAAAAAAAAAAAAAAAAAAAAAAAAAATTCATTATTATCTAATAAATTCATAAATTAAAAACTTTATGTTTTTTCTTACCTAAAACATATTTATCATAAACATTACTAATAAGGAGATATAACAAACATGTTGATAATCTGAAAAAATAAAAAATTTTGCAATTATCATTTTTATATATTTTATTGTATACTTTTAAAAAGATTCCTTAAATTATTAATAAAAAAATAATAATGAATTAAAGTGAAAAATACCTATCCGTAATTTGATCTAAAATTTGTCCAAAAACAGATGCTATAAAAAAAATTTTTAATAAAATAATTTATATATTTAAAGATATATTTATATATATAGACATATAATAAAAATTATTTCTATATTTTAATAAAAATACTTATTATTTCATATTTTTTTTTTTTTTATTATTTTAATTTTTCAAAATAAATAATAGTTAAAATATATCAAATAACAGTATATATAAATATTTTCTTTTTGTTTTTTTAAACACTTTGATTATATTTCCTAGCTGTCCATCCATCTAATCCATCCAACATTTGACTAGTAGCATAAAATACTGCAAATATTGGTAAATTTTGTCGGCATATCATAAAACCAAATAATGCTAAAATGACTCGTATATAGCCTTTAAAAAAAAAAAAATATTTTTTATTTATATATAAGTATACATATATACAATAAAATATATTTTATAAATATAATATTATATATATATATATATGCGTATATATATATTTTTTTTTTTTATTTAACCAATAATATTTGGTATGTATAAATAAACGTTTTTTTTCATTTTAACTAATATATATTTTTTCTATGTTATTTTTTTTTTTATTTAATAATTTATATATAATTTAAATGAAAAATAATGTCATAAATTAAATTATTTTTAAAAAACTAAGATCATTTTATGAAAATATTTATGTAAAATAAAAAAAAATTAAGGTAAAATAATGGAAATAAATTCTTATTTCACATTTAAATGTAAATAATAAAAAGAAATATTAAAAAGAAAAAAAATTTTTTTAAATTTTTTTATATCTTTTTAATTAACGGATTTATGAAAAGTATTTTTTATGAGTACTTTTTTTTGTTTCTAATTAAATATATATAGAAATTCTCATGAATGTTTATAATTCATATATTTTGTTTAAAATACTTATTTATTTTTTAGAATAATTTAAGAAAATTTTGAGTGCAAATATTTAATATTTAAAAAAAAAGAGCAAAAATACATATGAAGTAAAAAAAAAAAAAAAAAAAATTATCTTTGAGATTAGCATATAATAAAGCGCTCACTTTCATTATATAAAAAAATTAAGGTAAAAACAATTAAGAATCAAATAAAAAATAAAAAAAATTAACATATAAAATCGAAATAATATAAATAAGTACACAAATATACAATATTATAACCTTTTTTAATTCATTAAATTTTTAATGTAGATTAAATTCAAGCGGTGAGATATTTTTCCTTTTTTTTTCCTTTTTTTTTTTTTTTTTTTTTTTTTCTAAATATGACAATAAAAGAAGATAGTGTAATATTATACTTTGATGAAGATAATATAGAATTAGTAAAACTGAAAAAAGATGAGATAACAATAAATAAAAAAGGAACATTTCTTCATAATGATATTATAGGTAAGGAGTATGGAAGTAAAATATTTGATACACTAAATAAAAATTTTATTTATGTATTAAAAAGATCACCCGAATTAATTGCTTTAAGTTTAAAAAAAACAACTCAAACTTTATATGAACATGACATATCTTTTATTTGTTTACTATGTAATGCATTACCAAATAAGAAAATTTTAGAAGCAGGTACAGGTTCAGGTTGTTTAACATATGCCTTAGCTAATTGTGTTTTACCTCATGGTAAAATTTATACTTTTGAATATAATGAAGAAAGATATAAAGAAGTAAAAAAAGAATTTGAAAATTTTGATAATGTAAAAAATAACATAAATTTTTATCACAAAGATATTATTAATAGTGATTTTGAGGATTTTATATGTGATATAGATTCCGTTTTTCTTGATATGCCTAATCCTTGGTTATGTGTTGAAAAGATAAAAAAAGTTTTAAAAGAGAGAGGTATTTTTGTTATTTTTTTGCCTTCTATTGAACAAGTTCATAAAGTAATTGATTCTTTAGAATATCATTCTTTTTGTGAAATTATTACGTATGAATTAATAAATAAATCATGGCAAATTATGTTTCCTAAAAATAGAAAGAATATTAAAAACGAAAATGAAACAACTGATGTTAATAATCAATCTACATCTACTAAGGGTTATTATATAAATTCCTTAATACCAAATTATAGATTATTTCAAAAAGAAAATAAAACACATACCGGATATTTAACAGTAGCAAAAAAGCCATTAGATGATGAAAATGATCAAATTGATATTGAGTTTAAAAATATTATAGAATAAAAAGAAAAATGAATATCCTAAAAAATTTTAAATATATTATCCAACTATTTGTATTTTTTTTTTTTTTTTTTTTTTTTCTAATTATATCCTGAAAATTTGCATTTCAATATTATTAAATAACAAGAAATAAAAAAGATGAAATATTCTCTCTTTACACATATATAATTATATATATTTTTGTGTAAAAAATTTGTTAATTCTCTTTTTTTTTGTAATATATAATTCACTGTTAATAATTTTTTTAAAATATGCTTTTGTTTTTTTTATTTATATTTTTAATTGTGTTATTTGTTTTATATTTACTCTTTAAGAATTAAAATAAATTACAAAAAAACTTCGGTATTTTCTAATATTATTAATACATCCAATAAAAAAAAAAAAATAATAAACAAAACAATTAAATGAAAATTTTTTTGAAAAAGAATAATCATAAAAATAAATAATAATTAAAATTATTTAGCACCAAAAAGTTTTCTTATTTAAGAATAAAATTTTTGCGAATCTATATTTAAAATAATATAAATTTTCTTAAGTAGAAAATATGTATATACATAAGAATATGTAGTAATTAAATATAAATATTTCAAAATTAAGATAACTTTTATTTTAAAAAAAAAACAAAGTATATATAAATATATATAAGGAATGGATTTATTTTTTGATAATTTATAAGCATAAATTCAAATAAAGTTTGTAAGTATTTTTTATATATAAACAAGGAAAAAAGAAAAAGATTACTTAAAATGTTCTTTTTGTTCCTTTTTTGTATTGATTAATCTTAAGTATCTTCTTTTATAAGATATTTCATCATTAATACATTTTTTTTTTTTTTCATTTTCAATTACATGACAATTTTTTCTCTTTTCAATTCTTTTAATATTAGTATTAAGAATTTCCATATGTTTTTTTATATCATACCAATTTTTATCACCAAGAATAGATACTAAAATTTGTAATTGTATGTCTTCCAAAACATTAAAAGCTATTCTTTCTAATTTTATTTTTTCTTTTGTATCATATAATTTATTTATTTTAATATATTGTTCAAAACAGCTTAATGGGCTCCTATTTGTGTTTAATTCTCTTGCTATACATTTCCATTCTCTTTTTTTATATTTTTTACTTAAAAACAATAATTGCTTTATTTCTTCTTCTGTCCATTTTTTTTTTTCATCTTCAAAACATCCATAATATAACCATGTTTTTTGACATTCTCTTGCGGTTTGAGAATTTTTTAAATTTTCCGAAACTTCTTCCCAAAATTTTTGAGAAAAAACAGCAAAATTTTCTATTTGTATATTTTTCTTTGAAAGTTTATTACTTTCATTTAATATTTTTTCTTTTTCATAATTTATACTATTTGAATTATTTAATCCTAATTTTTCTTCACACAAGTCACTTATTTCTATTTCTCTTAATTTATCATAATCTTCTTGTGTTAATAACTTTTTTTTATGAACATGTTCATCAAAATATAGTTTTAACTTACTTAGAATATTTTTAGTATCACTTTCTTCTATTTCTTTTTGTTTTTGTTGTTTTAATTCGTATGACAATTCAGGTTCTATTAAATATTGGAATGCATATTTTTTTGAAATTTTATCCACAGTTATAAATAGCATATCTATATCTTTTTTTGTCCATAAATTTTTTTTATACTCATACTTTTTACGATAATTTAAAAATTTTGATTGAAATTGAAGTATTTTTAATGCATCTTCATTAGTTGGAGCAAAACCATTTTTTTTATCAAAAAACAAAGACATATGCATTTTATCTTCTGTTTTCATCCAATTTATTCTTGTTGGTTTTTTACTTGATAATATTTTTATTTCATTATATTTTTTATTTATATAATCATTTAATTTATCTATATTTCCGTTAATTAATTTTATCATTTTTTCAATAACTGTTAAATAATTATGTAACTTTTCTTCTAAACTAGACAAATTTTTATATTCACTATTTTCTATATTCATTTTTCAACGTATATATATATATATATATGTATTCAATTAAAAAAAAAATATATTGAAAAATAAATAAGACATATAAATAAAGAAATAAAAAACTAAAATTTTAACATATTTACTTTTTGTGCATAAAACAAAAAAAAAATTATACAAATAATAATAATTTCTAATTCATCAGGTGTTTATTCTTTGAAAAAAAAACAAAAAAAAAAAAAAATAAAATAAAATATATAAAATTTTAATTATCTTATATAAAGGAATACATAGGGATATTAAAACAATTTTTTTCAGTAATATATTAATTTTTTACATGATTTATGTTTTTATATTTAACTACACATATATTAGTATGTGCATTTTTTTTTTTTCTAGTAATAAAAATAGAAAAATTAATAAAGTAAAAATAATTCAAAGTTTCATAAATTTTAATAACATTTATAATGTAAATAAATTATACTAAAAGTATTTTAATATAAAATAAAAAAAAAAAAATATGAATTATTAACATTTTATTACTTCATCTTCTTAATAAATTTTTTCCTTTTTTTAACATTTTCTTAGGTGTATATTTTTTTTCAAGTTAATTTAATGTGATAATTTTTTTTTTTTTATTAATAATTTTTTTCCAATATTTAAAAATATTTTTTTTCACTAAACTAAAATCTTTTACAAATTTACTTTTGTTAGTATTTTTAATTTCTACAGAATTTTGCTCTTAATTTTAAAACTACATTGTTAAAATTAGATAATATATATCATTTTGTATAATGATAAATATTTATATAAAAAGTTGTAATTTATTCATTCAATTTTAAGTTTTTTTTTTTTTTTTTTTTTTTTTTTAGTTAAAATGGTAAATTCTGTAGTTCTAAAATAAAACTTTAAGTGATTCTCTTTAACATTTTATTACTTTTTTTTATTTAAAAATTAATATTCTCTAAATAAACATAAGTAAAACGAAAATAATTATACATTCAGAAAAAAAGGTAAATATATACAATGAGATTTAGCAATAAATTCATACTTACAAAAATAATTCATATGTAGATAAATATGAATAGAAGAAATCTTTGTCTTTATAAATAATAATAATAAATTAAAGGTTTTTGAAATTTTCTGAAATT